TCTTGGCTTTTCAGTTCAGGAGCTTTCTCTTTTCTCTTCCTTCCCCCAAGTAAGAGAGATAGACATGGGTCGCCCCCCCCCACTGCCCCCCTCCCTGGCCCCAACCCCTAGCTGCATTGGGGGTGGTAAAAAGGAGTAGAAGCCCAGGGGGCTGAGAACCCAGTGACAGAGGGAAATCATACCTGCACTCATCGACAGCAGAAAAATAGAGATATAGCAAGGTGGGTCCGGGGCTGGGAGAGTCTGCCTCAGTCTCAGAGAAGTCAGGGAGAGCTTTCTCATGTGTCCTGAGTCCAGGAAGAGCCTGTGATCAGGACAAGGAAGACACAAAGTGGAGACAGCTCATTTGAAGTGATAGTAGGACTCCAGGACGTGCAGCAGGAATGACTCCACAGGAGGATCAGAGAGGACGCTTGCAGGATGCCGTGAGTGCCAGCACACACAGGCCAAGTCTCAGCATCCAATGCCGGTCCCTCCTAAGGACATTGCCGCACTTTGTAAGTACACCAGGACTGAGTGAGAACCCCTGAATTGAACTTCCTGAATCCAATCTGAAGATGACCAAGTCTATTCATTACATACATTGTATTTCTTCCATCAGGAGGAATACAATTAGAGATTAGTTGGAATACAGAAAAAATAGAGAAATTCACTTTTCTATCCATATGCATCATTTCTCATTAGGACCACTTACAAAATGGAAATATTCATTGAAGAAATAACATCCTACGTCACTAACATCTTAGTATGAATGATCTTACCACAGTGGCTCTCAAATGTGGAATATTTTGCTCCGGGAGGACATTTGGCAATGTCTGGAGAAATTTGACTGTCACAGCTTGGGGCGAGGGGTTGGTTGCTCCTGGCATCTAGTGGGAAGAGCCCAGGAAGGCTGTTGAACAGCCTACAATGCACAGGTCAGACCTCCACAACAAAGAATTTTCCAGCCCCCAGTGTCAATACTACTGAGGTTAAGAAACCCTCAATTTCTCTCCAGAATCAAAAGATAGGTTCATCACAAAAACACCAAATTTCTCAGGGAAGAAGTTGGGTACAGATGGAGGAAGAATATAAATTGAAACAGGGAGAAAATAAATCCTAGCTTACTCCAGATTCTGAAGTACTAGTAGTTTCAGCATGGTAATTTATTATATCTAATACCCAGAGAAAAACAACTTTACAGCTAATTGCATCCTACTTCCAATAGTACACAAAACAAACACTCAAAATACTAACAGCCACACAATACAACAAAAACACTAAGATTTTATTTCATCACCATCTGGCATGCATAACAAACACTTCTCATGTTAAGTTTCTTGAGAGTCAGGCCAAGTTAGGCTTACAGATTAGTGAAATTCTAACCTTGGAGGTAAGTAAACTTTGTTCAGTTGTCAAAGGCAAGGTAAGCCTTATAGTTCTTTCTCATCTACTTTTATATACTGCTCCAATTCTGAGGAAATTGCTTGATCATTTTCAAAAGCCTAGTTTAATGATAGCTCCAGGCAGAAATGACCACACACACACACACACACACACACACACACACACACACCAGCCTTTCTCACTTTATGCTTTAGCCATCCTGCCTCCTAGAGCCAACGGTAGCCATCCTGCCCCAAGAGCATGAGTCTAGGAGGCAATCTCCACACCATGCAGAATGGCAGGAGGAACTTGACATCTGTCCTTTATCTGGTACAAGTGAAACATTTTTGACAATGGAGAAATGAGCACACTTGCTGTTGGGTCAGAAGTCAGCAGTCCAACATACTTTTCCATTCTCCCTCCCCCCCATTTCTCTACAGCATTCTGAACTAATGGGCTGGCCATTCCCTCTATGATGGCCATATTTTTTGTGAGGCTGTCATGTTGGTTTCTCTTCCTCTCTGATTGCTCCCTTTGGGTCTTCCTGACCTTCTCTTCCTCCTGCTAGTTCCATTTTGTTCTTTCCTCTACTCCTTTGCTTCAATCTCTATTTTGGCAACTCACCTGGACCCCTTGACATTCTCCAGCAGATGCTTGTCTCTATTTAGAATTCTTTCCTGAGGTCAAGGCCCGAATTTTCAACTGTTTACTAGTCACATGACTCCCTCTGTCCAGTTTCATCACCTCTAAAATGAAGATAATAGTAGTACCTATGTCACAGGGTTATTGAAGAATATATGAGATGATACTCTGCTTGACATACAGTAAGCACTCAAGAAATGTTGGCTATTATTATTATTGTTATATTTTTCCACTTAGAAGCCCAAATGCTACTTCAAACTTATGTCCACAACCAGACTCACCTTCCTCCAAAAACCTGTTTCTTTCTTTAAAAACAAAACAAAACAAAACAAAAAACAGGCAACAAGCATTCATTTGAGAACCAAAAAAATAGCTATTTGAGAAACACTGATTCAGGTAGAAACAAACCCAAACAGTGTTTCCACTAGGGGGTGAAGGCAAGGAGATTTTATGAGAAAGGGAAGGGGAATAATTACCCAAATAGAAGGAAGGAACTTCTATTGCTGTTAAAAAGTCAAGGAAAGAATTTCAATAGATGCAAATAGGCTTAGTTATTCTTTAGCTACACATGATGGTGCTAATTCTAAAGAATGACTTTAATTTTCAGTCTGCTTTCCTGTTAGATTTGCAAAGGGTTAGTTGGAATACAGTGTTGGTTTGACCTAAAGGTTATTTTGCCCAATTTAAACATTCCAAAGGTTTGAGGCATAAGACAAGTCAGGCAGTTCTTGGGGTAGCAGCTCTGACTCCATTTATGTTATTTTTCACATTTCTTCTGTTTGATGCTCTTTCCTTGAAAGCATCTCTTCAACTATTGGAAAGCAACACTGATCAGTTATGAAAAGTATAGTATCACTGGTGCTCCATTGTTAGGAAGTCTCATTCTTGTTAGGTCATGATTTGCGTCAGAGGGAAAGATCTTTCCTTAGGAGGCCTGGGCCACATTTGAGCAACAAGAATGCCAGAACAGGCCTGGCCCGTGGCTCAGCTGGTTGGAATGCCGTCCTGTACACCGAAAGTTTGAGGATTCAATTCCCCGTCAGGGCACATGGGCTTTACCATCATGAACCTTTAAGGACAAACATCTTCTGTAATTTCTTGAGGTTTCTCAGATGAGGTCCCATAGGCCCTAATAATAGTCTGAAAACATTAAGTAGCCATCATCTGTGGTGTCTTTATAACATCAAGCTATGCAAAACAGAGTTTTATAACAGCAACATTTTCTGTAATAACAAACAAAATGATAAGTCCAATTTGGAGAATAGATCTGAACCAGGAGGCAGTACTTGAGGGCAGCCAGCTGAAGATATCAAAGAACTATGGGTATCAGTGGGCACTGTATTTAAGAAACCTGTTTCTTTTTCACTGTTTTACCCTTCTACTTACTCACCTCAACATCACTTCTAACTAAGGTGATCATATAATTTATTGCCCAAACTGGTGTACTTGTAAAGAGAACACTATTAATCATGATACCAGGTCAAAGCCACAACAGTCCCTGGCAAACTAGATGTGTGGTCCTTCTGCCTTTAAACCTCTTCTCTTCCCATCACTAGTGGGGCAGGCCCTTACCCGGACCACTGTCACTTCTCATTTGGATTACCACCATATTCTCCTCACAGACCTCCCTCTCCCCTACCTCTCCCCTTCTGTTTCATCCCACATATCCTTTCCTGCTGTAAAACTTTCAGTTTCATAATAAGGAATAGGGCATAAATTATTTACCCAGTTCAAGGCTTTCTAAGATCTCAGACAACAGCATCTATACATTCATTGCTCAGAAATAGGCCAATTGAATACACCATTTTCTGCCCACAGATTCACCCTGGACTTCTCCTTCTTCCTTTTTGTTCTGAAATGTTCTTTTATCTCCTTTTCCTCAAGACCTCCCATCCCCCTCCCCTCTTCATAGATTCACATTCTACCTACCCTCAGAGCTCATCTCCCCTGACTCTCTGCACAAGCCTTTCTACAAACAAAGAAAGCCCTGACTTCCTAACTACAACATTCTCTCCCTTGAACCCATATCATAATTAATTTTTATTTTCTTTATGGCATTTACTCCCTCCAATCTGAAAGCAGTTACTTGGATTCATTTATTTTTTTTCTAATAATATATTGAAAATTCCTTCAGAACAAGGATGTGAATTCAATAATTTATCTAAGGGACTTCATTTTAGCACTTGGTAGATACTCAGTAGATATTTATTGACCGTGTGATACTTCCATAGGCTCTTTGGAATATTTTTTATTGGCTGCATATGAAAGTATACTGAATATACTGGTTTTGTCATTTGATGGTTTCAGTTCTCAGAAGCTAGCTCGAGCTCTCATTTCCTGTGTGTGTGTGTGAGAGAGAGAGAGAGAGAGAGAGAGAGAGAGAGAGAGAGAGAAACATGGAAACATGGCATGAGGGACGCTTAGAGAGAGCTGGAAAGAAAATATGAAGCTCATTAATATTCATGTTAAGTAAAGTGTCATAGGCGGTGGCAATTTGGGTTTGCAGATAGGCAAACTGAGGCTCAGGAAGTATAATATGGCTTTAGTAGGTAGTCCTGACCAGCATCCAGGTGGCGTCATTGCTGAGAGTTATCTCAGCCACCTCTTCCCTTTACCTCAGGGGAGACCATGACACTGAGGGGTGAGGCGAGGTGACTCCCCATCACCCCCAGAGACTACGTGATAGTCAGAGCCCTTATCGCCTGCCCTAGATGGTTTGTATCTATAAAGACTTACATTCTGGTGAAAGAGATGGATGAGTCACTGTTTTGTATCTTGTGAAGCAGAAAGGAAACATTTAGAAACTATAATTTCTGTAAATGAGTAACTTCTCATGTAGTAAAATGTGTGCAATTGCCAATGGCATAGTTGGTCTGAGGAGACTGGGTGGCCTGGCACATGCCTGACGGGCTGGTCACTTCCTGTGGGTCACAAACTGGAACGGTGTTGCTTCCCACATACCAGGCACAGCCCAGAGCGCTTTAGCTCAGCGCCTCATCTCATTCTCACACACTCCCGTGAGCTCCCTGTTCACAGAGATTAAGGTAAGTGGAGAGTTGGGATTTGAGTTCAGGATGCCTAATTTTAATAACTTACTGCACATAGCAGTCAGGTCTGCTATGTGCAGTAAGAACTGGAGGAGGAGAGGAGTGGAGAGAAAATTTCGTAATCACACACACACACACCCAGGCCCACAGCCCAAGAGGAGAGCTTGGCTGGGCCAAAGAGGAGAGCTTGAGGGGCCAGCCTGGTTCCCTCAGAGAGGTCCATTGAGGTGCAGGCACACGTCTTCCAGAGGCTTCTTCCCTTTGCTCACAATATGCAATTTGTCTCCACTCAGATAAGGATAAGCAGGGCCAGCCAGATATAAAACCCAGACACTCCCAACATTGTTTCTGTCCTCCCTTTTCTTTCACTAGCACCTCCTTCTAACCCATGCCAGGTGGCCATTGCTTTTCTACATTTTCCTCTATCACAGCTATTAAGACCTGATGTCATTTTATACTGCTTGCCAGAAATTTATTCACACTTTTGTGCAAGCTCTCCTGGGCATTCGTACATTTTAGCTTCTTGCTATCCCAGCAGAATAAATGGCGTGACTCCCCTGAAATGAGTTTTAGGCAACACCCAGGCCTTCAGGGAGAGACGTGGAGGGTCATGGAGTCTTCTAGTTGTCCCTAAAATTGTATTCTGCCTAAGGCCTGCCGTGAGGTAAACCTGCTTCCCTGATGGATGTAGCTGGGGCCCAGGAAACCCAGAGCCTGGGCCACCTCCCAGCTGCTCTGCACCGAAGAAGCAGAGCAGAGGGGAGGGGAGGATTCACAGCAAACACCAAGTACGCATTTCCACTTCCCATGTTGCCTTTGCCTTCCTGGCAGTGGCGGCAGCAATAATAGACTCCATCTAGTCAGGACCTACTATGTGTCAGGCACTTTGCTCAGTCCTTAGTACACTATTCTTCCTAAAGCTGTGATGGTTGAGTGTTTGGATTTGCATATCATGTTATCATAGTGCGTGACATTAAAGATTTGCTGGAAAGATAAGTGAAAAAATATCATGTAACTACTTAGCACAGAAACGAGCACATAAGAAGTATTCTGCAAGTGTCAGCCTTTCAAGGTCCGTTTTACTATCTCCCCTTTACAAATTTGGAAGCTGAGGCTCAGAGAGGTCAAGTACAATGTTTAAGATTATACAGCTAGAAAGTAGAGAAGTTAGGCTTTAAGTCCAGACCTACCTAATTTTCTCCCCTACTGGTGTGCTCCATTCTCAGACGAGGGACTTTCCTATTCTGATAAAGCAACATGGAGCTGTTTTCCAATAAGCAACTTTTATTTTCAAAATAGAAATTTCACCTTTAAAATCTTGAGACCTTATTGCCAAGATCACTCATGCACCAAAACCAAACCATAAGCCCTCCTCATTCCCAAGTCAGGGCTCTTGTATATGGTAGTTCAAGGAATGAGACTGCCATGGGGGTTCGTGGGGAGTCATCCTTTGTGGTCTGTATGAGCACATGCAATAACCTACCAAGTGCCCAGACAGACCCACCTTGAATCCCATTGAAGGGGCTACAAAAGCTATTACAGCTGTTTGAACATGTGAATGTGCACACATGCACACGCACACACACGCACACGCACACGCACACACATATGCATTGACTTTAGGCACTATTTCCCATTACCACACCCGAGGACAATTTAAAGTCAGGCCCCAGCCAATGTCTGTTCCACTTCAAGTAAGTGGCTTACTCATTTCACTTTTATTAGTAAAGTCTGGGTATGGCTATTTTCTCCTAACCGGTTCATCCATATCCCACTATCCCAAAGGGTGACTCTTAGGTTTCTTTTCTGTCCTTAACTTGCTAAAAGTGCCGTGATGCAGGCCCTTGGGTCTCTACACTCTTGTTGCGGGAGCTGGGGCCATTGATTCAGTGTGGTGTATGCTCATGCTGTGGCTGAGACTGTACGATAATATTACCTTTCACAGTCAACTCGTGACCCCCTCAGTAGGCACATGTGCAGAATGAATATCAGTGCAGCTATATTACTCACAGCCTCCATGGCTTTGAATTCGTTTCTGTCCATCCCTTCGGCTGGATAGCATTGCCTCTGCAGAGCACAGAAAAACGCAAACATCTCAAATCCCCCTTACAGCTCAGCTGCAAAGGGGTATTAGAGTTCGTTCACCTTACCTCCCTAGGACATGGTCAGGCAAAACAGTATTTTTCAAGGTCTGGGGTTAGAATCATTGGAATGATCCAAGGCAGTGGTTCTAGAGATATCTGTGTTAAAGGACCAGTTCTATTTGTGTGGTTTTTTTTTTTTACAATTTATAATCTATTGCATACTGACACTTATTTTAAATACAATAAACATGAATTATTAGAAAATTAAATGAAAAAAGACATAAAAATATAAGCCCCAAAATTAAAATTTAGATTCAGAAGATATACTATGGTTCTATCAAATTCCTAAAGTAGTTTCTCAATGCTTACTTTCAATTCTGGACTCATCTTCTCATGGACCTGCAACAAATTGCATAGGCAATTTGAATGTACTCTACGTGTTGAGCAATGGACAAGGCTGCTCTCTCAGAACCCTCATCCCCACCCCCTGCCTCCCTGCTCTGATAGCCAAAGTCCTGCATTTAAAGATTGAGCCTGTGCAGACAACATCACCTCATGTCGCCCAGGCCAAGTGCTCCTTCTGTGGGCTGAACAGCCTTCGGCTCTTAAATTATGACCCTGATTGTGTCAGTATCTGGTTCAAGAGCTCAGCTGACGGTTATCTACTCTGTGCATGAGCACACAAATCACAGCTTTCCTCTCTGGACCGTTAGGAAGGGTTGCCTTGCTGCTCTGATTAATTATGCATCAGTTAATTAATTTGTTGGCTTTAGTGAATTGAATCAATTATTTTAAATGGCTTTTAATTGCTAATATATGCATTATAACAAAAGACAAAAGCTGTTAATAGAATTTAACATGAAAACCTCCCAGGATAGGACATGGCCTTGTAAAATAAATTAAAGTTTCCCAAAGTGTCTCTGTGACTCCCCCAAAGCCAATGGAATCAGAAGAAATATGAGATTCTGTTTAAAGGCTCTTTTAGAAATAATCACAAACTAATACAAATGAATAAGGTATGAGAATTTTTTGACAGCTCACTGTCATCCATACAACCATCTCAAAGCTTCTGCATTAGGTCTCACAGGAAATCTAGAAGGTTCCAGGAGAGCAGGATCTCAGTGTAAATCTCATCTAGAGCTCAGTGTTGTGTCTGTTAACAACAATGAGTGGCTTGGAGGATTCTGGATTTTCTCTCACTCCAGGGAAGAAGACAAGTGAGAGGGTGGACCCTGGACAACACTGGGCTGGGGGTCGGGGCGGGAGAGATTCTTCAAGAGCCACCATCTTGTCTTATCCAGTCTAGAAACATGGGACAAGAAACCAGGGGCAGAAGAAGACATGACACAGCTCTGCATCCCCTGAGGAGGGGGAGGGACACCCTCCCTCCTTCTTTGTTCCTGGGTTAACTCCATGGGGTGTGAGAGGAAGAGAACAGAGGGAAAATTAGAGAGTGGGATTATGCAGTGGACAATTTTCTTCCCTACAGTAACTTACTCAGCAGCCACAGGGAGGATCTTCATACCAGAGGCATGTGAAAGCCAAAGTAGCTCCTTGGCTAAACTTCACTGACTGTAATATTTTTACTGGGAGTTCAGAGCTGATCCATAAATAAGCCTCATTTTATAGACTGATTCCTGCCTTTGAAAAATGTCCCAGGTGTCCAAAAGATGATGGTTGGTAATCAGAAGAATAACTGTCTTTTTAAAAAAAATTCTCAGATTAATTCATTTATTGCTCAAACATTTGAAAGCCTTGTGCATGCCAGGCCGTGTGCTAGGTGCTGAGTTAAAAAGAGCAAGCTGTCTGTCTGTGCTCTCAAGGAGATGAAAATCTGGTACCAAACAACTGGAGTATCATGTCATAAATGCTACAGAAAGGTGAAGGCTATAGTAATATAGTGAAATGCTACTTAACCCAGGCTCGCAAAACCATGGCGGGTACAAAAAGTAGGTGAGTCCTGAAGGGCAGGGCAGGGGTGAGCTAAGCAAAAAACCAGGTCAGAGAAGGAAGGTGTCTGGCAGAGAAAGAGCCAGAGGCATGTGAAAGCCTTGTCAGGGCTAGAGCGCAGGGTGGCTGGAGGTCCAGACTGAATCGCACAGGTGACAAGAAGCCATTGAACGGTTTTAGGATAAAGAATAACATGATTATGCCTGTGTTTAGAATGATCATCATAGCAGCAGTGTGGAAATGGATGGGAGAGAGGTGAAGACAATAAGCAGAGAAATAAAATAAGACCCTGTTGCAGCAGTTCAGGAAAAACGTAATGGGAACCCCAAGTAACTAACCTGCAAGGATAGAGAAGAAGACTTGGGGGTGGGGGTGATGTGGACACTGTGATGTGTCACTCAAATGCCCCATCAATGAAGCACTTGCTGCCCCAGTTATTGGGAATGCCAAGTGCAGCCCGTATTCAGCTGCCAAGCCCTTCAAGGATTGCTGGAGTTGCATAGAGTCCTCACCGGAGGTCACTTCCCATCTCAGTGTGGTCCAATGACTGAGTAGTGTGTGGGCATGAAGGCTTGGCCAACTTGGTCCAATGCAGGGCCACTTTGAAGGGTCGTTCTAGCTCCACTGCTCTCTGTGGAATGACACAAAGCTGTGTGCTGCTCCACCTCTCCCTCTGCCCACTCCTGCTTCATTCTCTTCCCTTCCACAGGGCTGATCACAGGCGCACAACCTCATAAGCATCCTGCATACTACACTCCATCTGAGTCTGCTTCCTAGGGAACTCAAGTTGCAACTGGATTCATAGGTAAGGAAGGGTGGGGGGGGGAATCAATAACAATTCCAAGATTTCTCTCTTAGGTAAGTCAGATAGGAAATAAAGGAAGAAGAACAAGTTTAGAAGGGGAGCACTGCATCCGTTCTTAGCACTGTCTTAATTTGTTAGTGACATCACAGTTTTCATGTTTCCTTGGCTTGAAACCCTGGAGTCATCTTGGCCCTTTCTTCACTTCAAACTCAATTGTCAGTAAGTTTTATCTATTTTCTTTTTCATATGGATCTGGGATGCAAGCCTTCTACTTTATTGCTACTTCTTACTTTTATCTATTCCAAGTCTTACTGCTTTATGCCTAAATTGCCACATCAGCTTTGGAATGAACCTTTTTGGCCTCTGTTCCCAACCTGTTGGTTCCTAACAGCTTCCCTAAAGAACCATTTTCATTATGCTACTTTCCAGCATAGCATATCACAAAGTTTAGAGCCATGTAATAGATATTGGTAAACTTATTGTTCCAGTCCATTCATCTTTATTCTATTTAAGAAATGCTGCTTGAACTGCTACTATAATCTAGGCATAATAGTAGGAGCTTGGGGATCCAATGTGAATAAGAGATAGTCTCTGACTTCTGGGAATTTTCAATTTAGTAGGAGACTAATACTTAAATAATAGTGAAATAGTGTGATGAAAGCTCAATTGAGGCAGAGGTTTTTATAGAACACAGGGTAGAACGGAATTATTTCTGTCCAGATTCTTTCTGATGGTTATCAACTTTTTCCAATGTTCTATCAACTAGCTCCACCCTGCTCAGCCGTTCTAATTTCCCCACTCTCCAGGTTGGTGTATTCACTGCCTGTGGGTGGTAACCAGCCTTCAGTGATCCTTCACTTCAGATATTTATGCTCTGTGTGGTCTCTCCTTACCCCACTCCCCAACACACATATATTGGAGAGGGATACTTTCTCTAACCATCAGGATATTGTGGAAATGATAAAGTTTAAGTTCTAGGGATAGGTCATAAGACCTTTTACTTTATGTGATTAAAATATATGACACCTGGGTTTCAAGACACTGGACATCAGTAATGAAGGAGAGTAATTGCTGAGAGGTGGGAAGCAGATGGTGACTTTCTGATTTTATTGCCGTGAGAGTTTCCAGGGCACAGCACAGGAAGGGGAGACCAGGGGGAGCAGACTCACTAAGTTGAGAATCTAGGGAGAAGAAGGTGGCTAGCATTTGCAGATCAAAATGTTAGAGAGGAGAGAGAACTCCAGAAATCTGCAGAAGGCCACCCTTGCGTGGTCTGCTGTGTAGTAATGAGCACATGTAGGTGAGGAAAACAACCCAAAGATGGACAGAGAATCATACTTTCTTATCTTAAAGGATAAGGAGTAGTACTCAACCCGCACTCAGAGCTGGAAACAGTGCCTGTTCCCAATAGTCAGACTGAAAAACTTAATTCACAGAACACTGAGTAAAGCATTCAGAAGGGTCTTGCCTCACTAGTGAATTCTTGTCCCACATAACAAATCTTAAATGAAAGACCTGAAAGGACCAAAACATTTCAAGTAACTTAATTTTGTTCCAGAACAAAATACTGATAGACTACAAAACTATCCAATACCTCAAAACATAAAATTCAAAATTTCTGGCATCCAATAAAAAATCACCAAGCATGCAAAATAGCAGAGATATATGACTATTGAGTATAAGTAAAGAATTAAAACTGACCCAGATTGCCATGGACTGTGTGGCTCAGTTGGTTGGCGTTGTACTGTGTACCTAAAGGTTGCCGCTTTAATTTCCAGTCAGGGCACATGCCCAGGTTGGGGGCTTGATCCCCAGTGTGGGGCATGCAGAAGGCAGCCAATCACCGTTTCACTCTCACATCAATCTTTCCACCCACCCCCTCCGCCCTCCCCCATACCCAGAGAGCTGGCTGGCTGCTCTCTCTGAGTCTATTTTGCTTGTTAGTTCATTTGGTTCATTAGATTCCACTTACAAGTGAAATCATATGGTACTTATCTTTCTCTAATTGGCTTAGTTCACTTAGCATAATGCTCTCCAGGTTCATCTATGCTGTTGCAAAGGGTAGTATTCCATTGTGTAAATGTACCACAGCTTTTTTTAATCCATACATCTATTGATAGACACAAGCTGCTTCTAAATCTTGGATATATCAAATAATACTGCAATGAACATAGGGATGCATATTTTCTTTCAAATTAGGGTTTTGAGTTTCTTCCAATAAATTCCCTGAAGTGGAATCACTGGGTCATAAGGAAGTTCAATTTTTAATTTTTTGAGGTAACTCCTTACTGCTTGCCATAGTGGCTGCACCAATCTGCATTCGCACCAACAGTGCATAAGGGTTCCCTTTTCTCCACGTCCTTGCCAACACTTGCTGCCTGTTGATTTACTGAAGAGAGCCACTCTGGCAGATGTGAGGATTTGTGGTCTTATAAGAAGAGACAGGACACCTTGTTCTCGGTCTCCACTATCCACCATGTGGGAACACAACAGTAAGGATACATAAAAATCAGGAAGTGGTTCTTCACCAGTCACTAAATCTACCAGCACCTTGATCTTGGACTTCACAGCTTCCAGAACTGTGAGACATAAATATGTGTTGTTTCAGCCACCCAGCCTATGGTATTCTGTTTTAGTAGCCCACATCATGCAAGACAAAATGTGAAGTGGTGCGATATCTTTTGAAGGTCAACTAGGATAAGTTACAATGTTTGCTATCAACTCTAAGGAACCAGTTAAATAACAAAATAAGTAGTTGGAGCTAATAAGCCAACAATGGAGATAAAATGCAATAATAAAAAATACTCAGTTCAAAAAGGGGGCAGAACAAGAAGAATATAAAACAAGTAGAGAATAAACAATAAGATGGTAGATATAAACCAGAACATATCCATATTCATAGTAAGCATTACTGCTCTAAACATTTCAATTAAAAGGCTAAGATTGTCAGATTGTATAAAAAAGCAACACAGCTGTATGCTGCCTACAAAGAATACAATTTAAATGTAAAGGCACAGATAGATTAAAAATAAATGAAGAAAAATATATTTCATGTTAACATTAGTCAAAAGAAAGTTGTGGTAGCTATATTAATTTCAGACAAACTAGATTTCAGAGCACAGAATATTACCAGGATAAAGAAGTTCATTTCATAATGATAAAGAGGTCAATTTATCAATAAGACATAGCAATCTTCAATATGCACCTAATAATAGAGTTTCAAAATATATAAAACAACAACTGGTAGAAGTACAGGAAAAACAAACAAACCATTATAGTCACATATTTCAGTTTCCCTCTCTCAATAAATGATAGAAAAATTACACAGAAAACCAGTAAGGAAATAGAAGACTTGAACATATTTATGAACCAACTTGACCTAATTGATATTGATTCAAAATAGATCATATGCTTAAATGTAAAATCTAAAACTATAGTTTCTAGAAGGGAAGATAGGAGAAAAGCTGTACGTCTGGTGAGACAAAGATTTTCTAGATGTAAAGCATGGACCATAAAAAACAAATTGATTAATTAGACTTCATTAAAACTAAAGATTGCTTTTTAAATATTGCTGTTTAGAGAGTGGAAACCTAAGCAAAAATTGGATATATTGAGGAGGTTATGGAGGAACTAGAAATCTCATTCACTGCTGGTGGAAATATAAAACAATACAACCATTTTGGAAAACAGTTGTTTTCAGTTTCTTAACAAAGTACACATACGCCTAGCACATAGATCCAACCATTCTTCATATACAGGGTGCCCCCAAAACTGTGTACACACTTTAACTGCTTGTAGCTCAACTTGGAAAATGAAATGTATTTCAATAAACACTGCCTTTATAATTATTCAAAGTGTGTGTATACATTTTGGGGGGACACCCTATATTTACCTGAGAAAAAGAAAAGATATATCCACACAAAGACTTGTACACAAATATTCACAGTAGCTTTATTTGAAAAAGCCCAGACCAGGAAACAACCCACATGTCCCTCAGCAGGTGCATGGATAAACAAAACTGCAGCATATGCATACAATGGAATGCTACTTAGCAACAAAAGAGGACAGAATTATTGATATATACCAACAACACAGGCAAATATTAAAATAATTATGCTGTATAAACACATATGCAAAGGATAGAAACTGTATGACTTTATTCATATAAAATTATAGGAAATACCAGCTAATTTATAGTAAATAAAAAGCAAGTCAGTAGTTGCCTGCAGGTAGGGAGAGAGGAAGAACAAGCAGGCAGGATCACTGAGGGGCAGGAGGAGACGTTGGGAGGTGATGGATATGTTTACTATCTTGATCATGGCAAATTTTTCACAGGTGTATCCATATATCAAAACATCAAATATTACAATTTAAATATATACATTTGATTGTATATCAATTATACCTGAATAAAGTGGCTTAAGATAAAAAAATTTGTGAAAGTCATTAGTGACATTATAGTTTCCAATAAATCTGATCTGGCTATGTAAGCAGCCTTGCTAAGGAACACATACGTTATTCCAGTCTTTCTCTGCCAGAAAGTGTGGCAGATAAATGGACAGACATCAGCATTTCCCCCCCCATTAGATTATGCACCTGCCCAGCCCTTGTGCCCTGACTCCAATTGCACCAGCAGAGCTGGCCTTTGTTTGCAACCTTTTAACCTGCAGCGCAGAATGGAAATTTTTGCTCAGACAGAGCCATCTTTCCCTGGATGTTGCAGGTCAGCACCAGGTGACTGCAGAACTCCCCTGGAAAACTCACATCATTGTAAGAGCTAGGCTGGTTTTCAACTGGTCCAGAGAGCCCTTCTTCCGCCTGCCCTGCAGACAGGCAATTGTTCTCCTTTATTGCTATGTTCAACCTTCCCGGCCTCCAGCCACCACTCTGTCACTCTAATGACGCCAGGCACCGTGTTGGACCATTTCCAGATGCCATAAGCTCCTCAAGGAAGGGTTAGGAGCTGTGGCCTATTCATCTTGCTCTCCCTACACCAAATA